CCATTTGATTTTTCTAAAATTCTAGTTTTTATTTTCCTTCCTGCTATTGTTCTGTGTATTTTACATAAAAAAAATCCTCCATCTTTGCTTTTATCGTTTATTCACAAATATCAATAACATATACATTACACAGAAAAGTATGTTACAGTTGGTCTATGTCCATCATTTGATTCTTTCTTTTTGTTATATTTTGGTATATATACGAGTGACTTGATTTTATTTTTATAACCCTCATTTATTTTTATAACCCTCTTTTTGTTATATTTTGGTATATATACGAGTGACTTGATTCTTTCTTTTTGTTATATTTTGGTAGAGATTGTAACGCCTGGTTCCTGGTACGTATTTAATTACAATTTATTCACTTTTTTGTAGAGCTACTCGACGAGTTGGGAGCCCCAAAATCGTCGAGTAGAAACCATAATGGACGCGGGATTTTAAGTCACCTACTCGATGAGTTGAGAGCCTCGACTCGACGAGTAGGCCTGCTAGAGTGAAACCGTAATTTCGGGGTTTTGCACCCTATTTAAGCATCCTAATCCCCACTTGCTGGCCTCATTTCCAACCTCCAAGTCCCAAACCCTAGATTCAGAAACCCTAAAGCCATTGTGAGCTTGTGAGCCATTTTTGAGTGAAACCTTGTGTGTTTTGAAGCTTGTGAAGTTAGGAGAAGCTTGAGGACTCAAGAAGGAGATACTATATCCAACAACTTCCTTTCTTGCTCATCATTTTCTGGTAAACAAGTCTCAAACTTGCTTAGTGGCTTCTTAGATCTCTTTATCATCTTTTTATTGGGTTTTTGGTCCAAGAAGCTTGATCTTTGGGATATGGACGTCCCAAGTGAGTGAACCATCAGATCTGGATTCATTAAGGGCTTTCCTGGCATTAAGGTGCAAACTTTATGACCATTGAAGCCCATGCAAGCCATAGGATGTTATTTTTGGCCTTTTAAGCTCCAAAAGGCCATGCATGGAGTGAAAGGTGGAAGCTTTACGTGTTCATGAAGTGTTTAAGGCCTAGATCTCTGTTTGTATGCTTTACTTTGGTGTAAGGATGACTTGTGGACCGAGATCTAAGTCCTAAAGAGTTAGGGTTTGAGCAAAACCCGTCAAATGAGGATATTAATGGGTAAAGTTGGAAACTTTACCCTTAAAAGAGCATTTTCAGTATATATGAGAAGTAAGAAGCTTAGATCTGAAGAGTAGGGGCTTAATCCGTTAAGATGGCCCAAACAGACAAATGAACTTGTCGAGTCCATAGAGGAACTCGACGAGTTGAGTCATTATGTCCCGATTCAGTTTATGGGTAGAACACAACGAGTTTGTGAAGGGACTCGACGAGTTGACTCGCTTTATCGCGACCATGAGTATCGAGGGAACTCGGCGAGTCAGGGGATGACTCGACGAGTTGGATAACGATTTCAGGGTCTTTGAGTTATAGAACTCTGCGAGTTGATGGGTCAACTCGGCGAGTTACGTCAATCCAGAATGTTGAATTTGACCAGAATGTTGACTTTGACCAGGGGTAAAATGGTCATTTTACCCTAAGAAGGATTATCAGTTTTTGACTAAGTGTTATTGTGATAATGATAGCCGGGGAGTCGTTGGAGCAGCCGTCAGAGATTCCTCACACAAGATTTCGCAGTTAGCTTTGTGAGGTGAGTTTTCTCCTGTAGGAACGGGTCCAAGGCACCAAGGCCAACCCGTTTATGTATGTTAGTATGTTCCGGACTAAGGTCCGATGCCGGGCAGGGCCCGATGTAGGTTTATATGTTTTCGGGTTTCGTTCCGATGTCGGGGCGGTACCTGAAGAATGTTACTATGCTTGATGTCTTTGTGATTCTTGCATGTGTTTGTATCTGTATGTTTTCGGATTTCGGTCCAATGTCGGGGCGGTTCCCGAGGAATGTTTGTATGCTTTCGGATTTCGGTCTGATGTCGGGCGGGGCCCGAGGGATGTTTATATGTCTATGATTAGGTGATTATGCTCATGTTATGTGTATTAGCAGTTATGCTCATATGTATGTCGAGCTTTGCCCGATGTCGGGTGGGGCCCGACGTCGGATGCAGTCTGATGTCGAGCGGGGCCCGATGTCGGACAATGCCAATGTCGGGCGATACCCGATGTAGCCGGGCGGGGCCCAATGTATGTTATATGTGTTTATGTGTATGGTATGTGGTAGTTTGGGGAGACTCACTAAGCTTCGTGCTTACAGTTTTCAGTTTTGGTTTCAGATACTTCCGCTAGTAAGGGGAAGAGCTCGGGATGACTGCATTGCACACACCACAACTTTTAGCCTGGGATGATTTACTCTGATATTTAGACATGTGATTTTGATACAGTGTTTGATATGATGTTTTGAGATATTTCACTTATGTTTTTATCAGATGATTTGGTTTACCATGGTTTTATTTATAAATGAAAAATAAAATTTTTGGACCGTATTTTTGGGATGTTTCAGAGATAGAGAGAATGAGAAAAGTTAGAGATAGAGAGATAATGAGAAGATGTAATGATAGGGAGAACGAGAAGAGTTAGAGATAGACTGAACAAGAAAAGATAGAGAAAAAAAGAAGGAGAAGAGTTTGAGATATAGAGATAATGAGAAGAGATAGAGATATAGAGAATGAGGAGAGTTAGATATAGAGAGATAACAAGTAGATATAGAGATAGAGAGAAGAAGCTAGAGATAGAGAGAGGAAATGAGAAGAGATAGAGATATAGAGAATGAGAATAGTTGGTGATTAAGAGATAATAAGAAAAGATCAGGATCTAGATAGAATGAGAAGCGATAGAAACATGAAGAGAGATAAATATATTGAGTAAAGGAGTAGAAAGTGAAAGTAAAAGTTAGTCAATCAAAGTAATCCATAAGGGATTATATGTAGAGGATCCATAAAGTATCATTGTAATGTGCTAGGGATTATATGTAGAGGATCAGTAAGGGATAATTGTAATCAACGATGGATTATATGTAGAGGATCAATGAGGGATTATATGTAGAGAATCTGTGAGGATCATTGTAATCTGTAAGGGATTATACATAGAGGATCCTTAAGGGATCATTGTAATCCATGAGCGATTATACGTAGAGGTTGGTTCTAGTGAAGTTACTTGATTTATAAAATTCATAAGTGCTTTATGAGTTAACACAAATAACAAACAACAAATTGGTTCTTTGTTTGGATTTAATCTCGTTGTAAATTTGAAATCATATGTTTTTAAGCTTTCAGGTTTAGAAGATGCATATTGTTGGTAATAAACTTAATGCAAAATTTCAATCAAAATGTAAAAACTTGCTTTGACTAATTTAGTAAGTTAAGTTTTTGTTAAAGAACTTGTTTTGACTACAAGTTAAGTAACATTATATCTTGTTAATCTTACGTATACGTAACCAACTTAGATCAGCAACTATTTAAAAGTTGATTCATAATCAATCGCGTTATAATCGAATAAAACTTAAACCAAAATTAATTTTCCATTTGATTTTTCTAAAATTCTAGTTTTTATTTTCCTTCCTGCTATTGTTCTGTGTATTTTACATAAAAAAAATCCTCCATCTTTGCTTTTATCGTTTATTCACAAATATCAATAACATATACATTACACAGAAAAGTATGTTACAGTTGGTCTATGTCCATCATTTGATTCTTTCTTTTTGTTATATTTTGGTATATATACGAGTGACTTGATTTTATTTTTATAACCCTCATTTATGTGTTGACCTAGCAATCCAAGAGGTTGATATCATGTTTACATTTTGTGGTAATTGGATTTTGCTTTTTTTTTTTTTTTTCTGATTGAAATGATTGATTGGAATCATGTTTCTAATTTATGATTTATCTGATCCTCTGGTGCTTCTTCGATGGTGATGGTGGCAGTTTACGGTTTTCCATAGAAGGCTTCCAACAGGAACAACGATGACGTTTCTTCAATGAAGGCAACTAAAGATGAGAGCTTGAAAAGAGAGAGGACTTGAGAAAGAAGGTGCTAATCCTTCTAGTTAATACAACAATAATTCATTTTGTTTAAAAATTAATAACACAAATAACATAAAAGAAGTTTAAAAAGTTAAAATATACTAATAATAAGGACCAATATAATCATTTCATGTTTACCATACTAAACAAAACCGTAAGATAATAATATCAGATAAAACGTTCGGATGGAAAAGAAGCTAAATAAAAATTAAACATGCAAACTGTACCAAATCCTAATGACTATTTCTGTAATTCTCAGGTTATCAGGAGTGCTTAAAACTTGACAACTCCAAAAATATTATCACATCACTACAATTTCCTCACCACACACCTACGAAATTGTCACCATTCTACATCACATTACCTAACTATATTTGTACTCTATGTATTAATATGTTGTACATTTGAGAGAGAGAGAGAGAGAGAGAGAGAGAGAGAGAGAGAGAGAGAGAGAGAGAGAGAAATTATGGTCGGCCTTCGTTCGAACCATGACCACATACACCACGCATCCTTGAAATGGTGTTCATGTCGATAACACCGACCATGCTTGGATAACGTCCCCACTCCAAAATGTCTAAAATCTAAATATCCAATATCAAAACTTCAAAAGTGAGACTAAAACATGTCTTCCAATTGACAAGAAGTCACCGCCAAATTAAAGTAACATATTAAATAACTTATTCATCTAAACAACATGAATTCTCTTTTTATTAGTTTATAATTGTGATCATGGATTTTAGTGGGAGATTGAACGACAAACACCGTCCCATAATGTTGAGGGCGTAAGAAGATAGACTATTTTTTTTTAACAAATTATTATCTTTATCATTTTCTAATAACATATTACCATAAGAACGAACTAGTGTGTATTAATCGAGTAATATGATATTGAGGTTGTTGGAGCCAGTTCTCAAAACTTAAGGTCCCATAACAATAAATTTGAAATTTTGAGGGGGTGAAATTGCAATTTTTCTATAATATTTCTTTCCGTCATCTCCATCTCCATTCCTCTGCTTTTTATGCCACTACAATTTTCAGAGGTTGAGTCTTTTGAAGCTCTCTCTCCTCCCGAGTCCCGACCATGGTGATGAAGTGATGTAACACGACAGAAAGGCAAAACCCTTTTACTCTTCACCCCAATTGGCACATAAGTAGTGGAAAAGAAGAAACACTGAAAGATTTAGAGAGATGAAGATCTCCGTCAACTTTTGGCTGAGAGGGTATTCATGAAAAAAAAAAAAACTCAAATTTTCTTCTCTGTATAATTAAAAATGGCAACTTTACAACAGCCCCGACTGGATTTAGAATCCGGTGGTGGCGATGGAGCCGGAGATGACACCCGCCGGCAGTCTGGATCATCTGATGGTAGTGAAGAGAGTTACAGAACTAGTATTGGGACTGCAGGGATGGTGCCGGAGGAAGTGGTGGAAACTGGGATATCATCCTCTGTTTCAGAGACCTCGGCGGTGGATCTGGAAACTGGTGGCGGTGGCGGAGGCGGAAATAAGGTACATTTGTTGAAGATCGAAAAGGATTGTAGGATTTGTCATTTGAGTTTGGATGTAAACAATCAAGAATCGGGAAATGGGATTCCGATTGAGTTGGGTTGTTCTTGTAAAGACGATTTAGCTGCTGCTCATAAACAGTGTGCTGAAACTTGGTTCAAGATTAAGGGCAACAGGTAATTAACAAAAACCATCTTCTAAGAGTTAAATTTTTATAACTTTTTAAAGATACCCATTTACATATTTTCCATCTTTCATGCTTTGGAACTTCTGTAATTGGGATTGATTTTGCTTCTTTGCTTGATTAGAGTTTAGAATACTTAGTTCTCAACTTTTGTTTACCACTTATTTGTGACTTTGCTTTATGCTAGAAATTAAGTCGTGTTTGTTAGTAAGTTTAAGGTTTTGTTGTATTCATTTAGTTTATATTTACATGTTCTGCCTTTTTCAGTTTAGTCACCTTTCTGTATCAAAGAATTAGGAAACTTAAGTTTCGTGCCTTTTCCAGTAATCCCTGCTGCATTTTTCGTAAATATATATCTTTTTGGAGGAAAATGGACATCATTTTGTCACTAAAATGACATCATATTGCTTAAAAAAACATTTTTTTTTTTTTTTAGTTTTTTACTGATAAAACGATATCGCAAAAAAGGTTATTTTATGTTTCATGAAGTAATTAGTTATTTTGTGGCATAAAATTGAAAATATAACATTTTGTGATATTTCGTTTTTGGTTTTTGTAATTTTTTATGATGAGCCTTCTTTTTATCGTAGGATTAAATTTGTTCAATCATTGATAGGTTCTGAAGAAATATTATTAAATTGTAAAAGAGAATGGAGCCAAAAAGAAAAAAAAAACAATATTAACCTTAGTAAAACATGTTTATTATTTCAAAATAGGTAGTGAAATGCTTTAAGGAACACAAGGATAAAGGAATAATTTCAGAATAAAGTCGAAAAAGCAACTTTTTATGAAATAAAAATCAAGAAAAGAAAAGAAAAGGGGCGACCCTTGTAACAATGCCTTATTTGCTTTGGAATTTTTTTTGGGACCATTTTAATAAATCGACCACCAATTCGTAATGTGGATTTTTTGGATTACAGATTTGCTTTTTGAATATCTTATTATAAAAATCCTTACAAAATTCAAACTTTGCGAAAAGCCATCTTATGTGTATTTTGCACATAGAAAATCGTTTATATGTTTTGTAGTTACCCTTATTTTCTTAAAAAAGAATAACCTTGGATGTCGTTTGTTGTGTGTTTGTAAACAAAAAGAAAAGATCTGCAAAATCGTGGTACTCTTGTGTGTATTTTGCACATAGAAAACCGTGTATATCACTACTATATCTTTTAACAGTGATGGAATTTGCTTTCCTCGTCTTCTTTCCCTTTTTTCTTATTTGGTAGCTAGTGGAATATTTATTCGAACCCACAACAACATAGCAACTTTTCTAAAAGTTTTAAAGATTGTTATTAAATTCAATTATTAAGGAGATGACATATTATTCTTGTCACTATATTTTATTGTTGGCATCCTAAGTTCATGGAAAAATTCAACTGCACATATGACCAAGTTTTTGTATGATTCTTTTTAGGGAATACATAATATCATAATAACCCAAAGAGCTAATTACAAAAAACCCAAAGGACTAATTGCAAAAATAACCAAAATGGCAAAGGTAATGTCAAAATATAAATCATATTTTCAACTTTTATCATAAAATGGTCCCACAAAAAAAGTATATGGTGAGATTTTTAACTTTTGTCAAAATGACATCATTTTCGTAAAAAAGATATTGAAAAATTAATTTTACAAAAAAAAGATATTTCACAAAATTCATTAGCGAAATAGGTGGCTTTATATGCTAAAAATTGAAAAATGGTATTTTATGATGTTACCTTCTTATATTTGATTCAACCACTAGCAAAGTGGCTTATTTATTGGTGATCACTTGATATGAAACACTTTGAAATGGAGTTGATCAATGTCGGAATCTCATATGCATCAACCTTACGGTGACATGATCACAAAAAACCTTCCCATATTTGGTTATTTTTGTGAGTAACCCTTTCCCAAAGGTATATTAATTCGTTATTACAGCCTAATTTGATTTTATGTCTTAATAATCAAGAACGTGTGAGATATGTGGATCAACTGCAAAAAACGTTGCTGGTGTAGATGAGGCTGAACCAATAGACCAATGGAGCGAAACAAATGGTTCAACACCATCACGAGCCGCTGCACCCATGGCTACATCAGAGACCCGCAACTTCTGGCAAGGCCATCGGTTTCTCAACTTCTTGTTAGCTTCTATGGTTTTTGCTTTTGTCATCTCCTGGCTTTTCCACTTCAATGTGCCATCGTGATTGTGAATAATGATCATGATTCATGAGAATTAGAGGCAAAGGCCATGCAAGCAAAGAAGAGTTAGTGGAGTACTTTTTAATTTGTTGATATTATGTAGTCTTAAGTCTTTCATCTATTAGATATTGTATTGTTGTTGTAAGCTTTAAGATATTTATGAATTGTTTTAAGATTAAAGAAAGAACGCCAAATTTGACTTTTGAATGTCGGACGTTTGTAGATTTGATTTGTTAATTTATATATATTTTGAACTAGTTGTAAAATCCATATATTACATGGGTTAATTTTTTTTTAAAAATGTTAAATATAAAGATATATTACATGGGTTAATTTATTTAAAAAAAAAGTTAAATATAAATGTCAAAATATTTAAGAACTTTGAATTTATAAGAAAATATGAAAAATAATGAATTATTAGTTTATTATAACTGAAATGTTTTTATCATTTAAATTTAAAAAACAATTTAAATAAATAAACAAAAAAAAAAACTAATGAGCTTTAATTTGAAAATTTTGAAATTAAAATGTAAGTTTATTAATGAAATTGATATTCATTTGTTACTATATTTATTGTAATTATTACATTAAAATATTATGTTGAATTTAATAAAATAAACTCATAAAATGACACGTGGAAAAAAATTAATTCAAAATAACCACACAGTTACATTTGGCAAATTGAATGAGACTATGACATGTAACAAAAAAAACGTTTATTTATTAGAGTAGATGAGTTAATGACGTATTGACATGACATAGTCGGAGATAAAAAGAAAAATCTCTATTTTTAAGTCTAATAGTCTATTAAAAGTATTATATACTAGTTTTGAGACTTATATATTATATAAGTTTATTCAAAAAAGAAAAATAAATATCTAAAAATTTAAAAAAGTTTGAATCTATAAGGAAAAAATAAAAAATATTTAACTATTAAAATTAAAATTTTTATTTTTTTAAATTTAAACAAATAATTCAAATAAAATAATAAATAAACAGTTAAAATAATTGAATTCAATTTTAAAATTTAAAACATAAAAGGAAAGTTGCATTAACAAATTTGATATGCAATTATTATTACATTTATTACTTTTAAAATTTAAAACATAAAAGGAAAATTGCATTATATGAAATTTAATAAAATAGAAAAAAACCCCACAAAATAATATATGCATGAGAGAATAAGAAGTGGCATAAATGATTTTTATTTATTAGATTAGATTAAAAATAAAATTCGAGAATTGTGGTTTTTTTTTTTTAACAAAATGTATAGTTGTTAATTTTAACTAGAGTGAATTACATAAATGGTTACAAAAATTATGGATTACATAATCGTTGATGATTTTTAATCCTTTTCGTCCATGAAGTGGCTGAGTCGGCCAGCCTCAACGCCTTTGTGGTGTTAAGACTCTTTTCCTTCTCAACGTTGCTCAACGCGTTTATTTAATTCAATTGACCGTTCCAAACGGTCAAATTTGATTATATATATATATATATATATATATATATATATATATATATATATATATATATATATATATATTATATAGGGAAGAGTTATTTGGCAAACAAAAAACCCCTAAAACCTCATAAAAATGCATAAAAAAATACTTAGAGATCACAAAACTTTTTTTTGAAAATTTTTTTGAAAAAATCGTAGCTTTTTTATTCAAAATATTTTTTGTGATCTCTAAGTATTTTTTTATGCTTTTTATGATTTTTAGGGTTTTTTTAGGGTTTTTTTGTTTTTCCATAGAACCTAAAACCTCTAGATATATATATATATATACTATAATCTCTATCTAATATTATATATATTATCTTATATATACTATATCTTCTACCCGCGAGAGCGAGAGCGCGCAAGAGAGAGAGAGCTAGGTCAGGTGTTTACACTAATTACTTGTGTTATTGTATGCATAAATATGGGCCAATCAAAATTTAAAATATAAATAATTAATTAAATAAATAAATAAGGGTAATTAGGTAATTTTATAAACAACTTCCTCAAATACTTTCCTATAATTATGTTAGTTGATTTTAACCTAATTTATCCCCTTTTAATTACCACCGACGTCACTTTGAAAAACCCCCCATAGGATTCGATCGAAAGTGAACAAGATCGACTTCGTCTTTGTCTTCATCTGATCAGAAAGGAAAGACGAACAGAAGCAGGCAGCGACTCGGTGATCAGTGGTGGCTACTGTCAACAGCGGTGGAGTATCGTCATCGTCTTCGCCGATTGAAAATCTCGCCATCGTAATCACACTTTCAACTCTCCTGCTGGGGATCCATCGTATCTGATTTTTCACACGCAACCGCATTATTTTACACTTCCAATTTAACCCTATCAGAGGAGAGTGGATTCTCGGCCTCGCTTCTAAAAATCGATTGAATCGGATTGGTTCCAGTCGACAGACAGTGAGAGTGGAAGAATTGCTTGAGGATCGATGCTTTGTGATTTTGAGAAGTTAGTCGGTGGAGGAAATATGAAGCAGGGCAGGCGGAGGCAATGAATTGGAGGAAAATAGCGGTCGATCGGAGGAGTGCCACGCAAAACGGCTTGAAACTGCCGCCGACTCAATATCAGGTACTATATATAAGCCTAACTTGAAATTTATTATGTATATAAATTTTACATTAGCAAATCAAAAATGATTTTGGATAATGGAAGCTAGCAGTAAACTGTTTTATAAGTAAAAAATGGTGAATGAATCGTTATACAGATCAAGAACAGATAAGCATAAAGCAAGTGAAGCACTAGAAACCCGATTATTCAACTTAGATAAAGCACTAGAAACTAGTTATTTTTGGTTCATTTTTTGTTTCTTTTTCATTGTTGGTTGCTATTGTTTTATGTGGCAGATTATTTTGTCAGTTGGTATGTAGTGTATTCAATGGATGATATTGGTGAGATTCCAATTCTATTGGAATGGAATCACGAATTCCAATTCTGTTGGAATGGAATCATGAATTCTAATTCTGTTGGAATGGAGTATGGATTTTTTTCTCACTGATTTATGCATGTTCTACAATTCTTGGTTATTGGTTTTGGTGCAATTCACAAGTCCACATATTTTTCCAAAGGAATTTAGTTTTTTATTTTTCATTTGCTAATGCATTATTGGAATCTAAACTACAATTTGGTTTTGTTTTCACATAAGTTGATGCTTGAAGAACGGACCACAAAATTGAAAGTGATTCTAAGCAACATTATTCTTTTAGAATGTATTAGTGTCGTTTTTAGATTTTGATGTTTTCTTTCCCGTTTTGAAAGTTTTTTTAGTTTTATTCTTTAACAATAAATGTAATTCTTAACAATTGTTACCCGTATTCTATAAGAAATAATGTATTTTCTGTTTTTATTCTTCAATTGATTGTTCAAAAACTTGTTATTCTACAAGAAGTTTTTAAAGTCATGATCAAGAAATAGGTTCAACAATATTTTTATTATATATGGTTCAAGAATATTTTTTTTAATATACTCATAAACATATTATGTCAGAATGTCCGAATTAAAAGAGTTATAATTCGTAAAATTGGATTTTAAAAATTAATAGAATATATGATCCCTTAAAATATGTAATTTTCCTTTATTAAATCTATATTAATTGTCTAAAATACCCTTGTAATTAATTTAGATGATATTTTTCAATTATATTTAATTCAATAATATATATTAATCACTTTCTTAAAATAAGTAAAATTGATTGGCCCATATTTATGCATACAATAACACAATAATTACTTTGAATAGAATAACCTAAGGCTATATATATATATATATATATATATATATATATATATATATATATATATATATATATATAGAGAGAGAGAGGGTTCAATTGGAAAAAAAAAGTTGAGAGTAAAGGAATCAGTCTCAAGCCAATAATTTATTTTTGTCGCAAAACCCTCCATCGTACCGGCGAAATTGGGCAAGGGACACACGTGTATATTCAAACCAAATATGTTTTTCTTTAAACTATGTTAATCATTACCTTAATATATACAAAAACATGTTTTTTTTTGTTTTTTTTAATTTTTAAGAAACTATTTTTATCGAAAAAATATTTTAAATATATCAAAATTCATAATTTTTTATTCTCTATAAATAAATATCCATATTGTTATAGTTTTAAGTTAAAATAAAATTTTTATTCTTTATGGTTACAGCTCTCGTTATTCATAAGCGAATAAAAATGCATCATATTTTTATTACAGTACATTCATTATTCACTTATGAATAAAATGTATGCTTAATTTTTTTTTACAGTTTAAGTATTATTTATATATGAATATAACACGTAATCAAGTTTTTACATAATTCTTTTTTTTATCAGCTTCTGTCATATGTTATATTCATATATGAATAAAACGTGTATTAGTTATCATCTTATGTTATATTCATATATTAATAAATATTTATTACATTTTTTGTTACAGTTCCTTTGTTATTCATATATGAATAAGTAGTATGCTAATAAAAGACGAAATGTTTTGAAAATTCGAACTACTTATTTAAATATAAATAACAAATGAACGTAACAAAACTCTGATCAATATGTTGTTCAAATATAAATATAACTTGTGAGGAGAGCTAATATAAGTTTTATTCATATGTGAATATAACATGTGACGAGAGCTGATGTAAGCTGTAAAAAGTTTATTACATATTATATTCACATGTGAATAATACTTAAATTGTAAAAAAAAAATTAAACATATTTTTTATTCTTAAGTGAATAACGAATGTACTGTAATAAAATCTGATGCGTTTTTATTCACTTATGAATAACGAGAGTTGAAACTATAAAAAAATAATTTTTTTATTTTATCTTAAAACTATGTCAATATGGATGTCTATTTAAAGAGAATAAAAAATTATGAATTTTGATATATTTAAAATCATTTTTCAATAAAAACAACTCTTTAAAAAAAAGTACGTTATTATAAATATTAAGGTAATAATTAGTATAGTTTAAGGAAACATATTTTGTTTGCAGACACACGTGTATCTCTTTCCAATTTCCGCCGGTACGATGGAGGGTTTTGCGGCAAAAATAAATGATTGACTGAGAATGATTCCTCTATTCTAGGTAACGTAGAGGACTCGGGATGATTCTTGAGGAAAGTATAGATATGTGTGGAAGGTAGTATTGGACCCGTACTATTGGAAGCACAAGATCCATACTCGAATCAAGGAAGTCACG